ATTAAAAAAAAAAGAAAGAAAGGATACGGAAATGTTGGCATAGGTACAAGATGGACTGTCAACCAAGAGCAAAAGTGCAATGGCCTATTTAGAAAAGACAACAGTGACCAAAACAAGAGACAAAAATGTAAGTGTTCTATGTGGAAAGCCCTTAGACATTGGGCAGAGTGGTAGCTCTCTGTGCAGACCTGGGGTCGCTCCACAGAACCTGAATAATGATGATGATAATAGTGGTAGAGTCTATCTGACTGCAGCTTTCCCCCTTGTCTACTCCGTTCTGCTTCTGTGACTCCAACATGGCAATTATGCTCCTCCTCCCAATCTGCAGCTTCCCCATTCCCATGCCTGGTCCTTAGCATCCTGTAGCACCTGGGTTGGTTCACGTGGTCTCAGACTATGTTGTGCTGCCTGTGGAGATTTTGGGGCATTTACAACTAGTCTTCCATATCAGACTCCATATGCCTTAGGACAAGGGACACATTTCCTTTTTCTCCATCTTACTATGTAGATCTGGCTTCCTGGGGCTTATGGTATAGCTATTTAAATAGTGGAAGGATTTTATTGCAATGGCTGCATGTCTAAAGCCCGTATCTCCAAGTCATAAATGCTGTGGATGACTCAGCTAGATTTCTGGTTTCTTGGGGAAATTTCTCAGAAAGGGGCATTTTTCTTCTAATGGGAGATGCCTTAGAGATTAGTCCAAAGTGAGGGTTAGCACAAAGATAGAAAACCAGGGATAGAGAAGTCATCAGAATGAAGGCAGACATTTTCTTGGGCTCCCTTTCTCAGAGCCACATGGTGCCTTACATGTGAACTATTAGTCCTAAATGCTAGAAACGGTATTTCTAGTGGGCAAGGTAGTGCAGAACTGAAACCCTAGAGTGTGGAAAGTTAAGGAGGGATGGTGAGTTCAAAGTCAACCCCAGCTCAACAACAGCAACCCCTAAAACAAACAAAACACATATTGTTTACTGACTTGTGACTATCACTCAGTGTGACTCTCCAGGCTCCCTTTTTATGTACTGCAGTCCACATTTCCAACATCAGCAATTCTTTCTTCTGGCAGCCTCTGCAGAGTGGCTTCTTGCATTTATCATAACCCACCAAAGCTCTTCCACATCTCTTTGTGGGTTAGCAGCTCGTTTCTTTGTACTGCTAAATGGTATTCCAGTGAATGGATGCATCTGTTTGTCTGTTAGACAAGGACATCTTGATTGCTGTCAATATATGGCAATTATTTACAGGTACATGTAGTTGCCAGACTGTCAACTTGCCTTCCAAAGCAGCTATGGGTTCTGTGTTCCCGTCAGTGGTGAATGTTGCACACTTACTCAGATGTGATGTTTGCTGGGGTTTTAGATTTTGGCTATCCTAATGTATGTGAGACAGTAACTAGCTGTTGTACTTACCAATCACCTAATGATAGATGAGGTTCCCATACACTCAAATAGGAGATGATAGGAGAGGAAGTTACTGGGGATCACTATTAGATAATAACCAGCACAGAACCCTTTTTTTCTATGTTAGTTTCCTGCTGTGACCACAACGAATATTTTAAAATACGCAAACGTTTAAGACAAAGCAAAGGTAATTGTGTTATAGTTCTGGAGTTCACAAATGCAAAATAGATCTTACTGGGCTGCAAATCAATCTATAGACAGCAATATTCTTTCTGGAGGGTCTGGGAATAGTTATTTTCCATAATTTAGAGGCTACATGTGTTCTTCAGCTTACACCCTTCTTCCTACATTTTTAAATTCATTTATGTTGGGGTGAGTCTGTCTCACTTTATTCTCTCTGATTGTCTTCCTCTTCTGCATCTAAGGATTGTTGTGATGTCATTGGGCCCACCTGGACAACCTGAGTCATCTTCTAATATTTCAGACTTCAAAGGTATCTGCATCTAAATCCCTGGAACCAGTGCCTGCATGGAAAAAGAGGTTTCCAAGGATGTAATTTAGCCACGGATCTTGAGATAAGGATATTATCCAAGGTTATAAGCTCTAAATATGGTTGGAAATGTGTTTTTAATTCAAGAACAGTATTTATAAGAGGAAAACAGATGATTCTACAACAGAGAGACAATGACGACTTTCCTGATAAAGTTTAAAAGATGAAGAATTTTCCTGAAATTTTCTTCACTCGTGGTTCATTGTGGCTGGCAACACCTCTGGTCTGGTGACACTGGGTTCTATAAGAAAAGCAGGCTGAGAAGCCTGGGAAAGCACAGCAGTAAGCAACTCTCCTCCATGGACTCTGCATCAGCTCCTGCCTCCAGGCTTCTGCCCTTTGAGTTCTTGCCCTGACTTCCTTCAATGATGGTCTACCAAGTAGATGTGTAAACCAAACAAACCCCCTTCCTCCCCAGCTTGCCATTGGTTATGGTGCTTGATCAAGGCAATGATAACCCTAAAACAGCCAGTTACCAAGGAATGCATACTGTGTAATGTTATTCCAAAGGAAATAAAATGCACCAAACAGAGCCATATACCACAAGGAATCCATCCACTTTAACAATGTCTCTGGGGAATAGCAATGAAGAAAAATAATTATATTCTGCATTGTTCGACTGCAAATACATTCATGCATAATCTGTGTAGTACCTCTGAAGAACCACAGCTTTTTCTTGCTTACCATTGTATCCACGCACTCATAGTTCCTGGCAGGAAGCACTCAATTAGTAGAGTCCAAAAAGAAGTCTTGTGGTTAATATTGAATCCTGGACTGATGGGCAGACGTTACAGATATTCTAAATTCTTCCAGTCCAATGTCTGTCACAGAAGTGTGTCTGTATGTGTGCTTCTCTGAAATGAATTACCACTTTGTATCCAACCTAAACATCTACCTTACAATGTAGTTGCTTTGTACCCATTTTTCAAATGAGGAGCCTGAGGTTTGGGTGTGTCAGTATTTGACTGTCGTTTTCTCTTTCTTTTCTTGTTTATACAATTTGACAGTTACAGAAATCTCACCAAATGGAATGTAGTAGTCATCTCTAGAAAACCTCCCTTTCAGCACTGTTTTACTTGCGCTATTTTTGTTTTTGTTAGCTAATTTACATACTTGGTTTAAAAATTGGTAGCAAAACACAGATACAGGGCACTGGAGAGATGGCTCAGAGGTTAAGCGCACTGGCTGCTCTCTCAGAGGCCCTGAATTCATTTCCCAGAGGCACATGGTGGCTCCCAACATTCTGTAATGAGATCTGGTGCCCTCTTTTCGCTGAGGGTCTGTAAAAAATATTTTAGTTTCTAAAGCCAAATCTATCTGTCCTCTATTTCCATTGGTTTGGCAACTCATAAAACCAAGTTAATGTACATATATATTATAGGTAGAAGAATCTAAAAGTTCCTTTGTAAGTAGCTGTGTGTAAAGCTACTTTTCTCATCTGGAAGGGAGTGAAGGCACGCGTGTCGACTGGCATGGCTCCCGAGGCCACGCCGAGGTGGAGGGACTCCTCCAGGGTCGCCAACTCACTGCTGGAAAAGCTCTAGAATTCTGCTTTCTCGGTGGCTTTACCCAAGGTACAACCTCTGCTGAGTCATACTGGTTCTGGGTCTGCAAGCTGCCTCTCCCTCCCCAGCCCTCTAGCTAACTCTAGCTTTTCCCTGCTCTCCCCGCCGCTGCTCCCGCGTGAGTGTGTTGAGCTCTCAGGCGGCAGGAGGCTCGAAGCAGATTTCCACTGTCGGGTTGGGTTCCATGGGCAGCTGCGCTGAACCCGGGACTCCAGGTGGAGCTACTCGGACCTTACGGGAGGTGGTGGGCAAGGAACCTCCACCTTCGAGGGAGAAGTGGGTAGGGAGAGCCCTATAGTTGGGGAAAGGGATCATGAAGTGATCAGGGCAATGTGTCAGGACTAGATGAGGATGTCCTTTGTACAACAACAATGTCATTTGTGATCTCCCTCCATGAGATCTTGGACTTTCGCTGTATAGCCCAGGTTGGTCTGGAACTCACATTTCTCCCGCCTCGGGATTCAAGTGGACTGGAGTATAGGGGGTACAGATGTGACACCTTGACCCGCTTATTTATTGTACATTTAAAAAATAGGTTTACGTGATGCAGATAAAATACAAAAGTGTGGCAGCCACGACCTGGTGAGCCTGGGTGGGTAGCTGTGCAGCACTATTCCTGCTCTGGAGGCGCATTGCATTCTGGGGTGTGTGTGGAGCCGGCAACTTCGCCATACATCGTGTCAAGGAACCCAGCTAAGCTAGGGTTCCCCTAGTCCTCCGCGCCCAACCGGCAAAGGAGGCGTGAGATGAGGGGTCAGCTTTGCCACTTAAGAAAAAAACCAACCAAACAAACAAAAAACCAAAACAAACAAAAAACCAAACCTCGAACCGCTTTCTTAACTGTGGTCAGAGGCCAAGTATGCAAACCCAGGCTCCCTGGAATTCCCGTCCACCTCATCGTTCTTGAGACCTGACTTTTGTTTGACAAATCTTGTTTCTGAGATGCGGTCGTATTTGTCTGTGGGAGGAGGTATACGAAACAAAAGCATCAGAAATAATGTCTGTGACTCAGGGAAATTGTTAAAATGTCTAGTCCCGTATTTTGTGTGAGGATTCGTTAATCTCTGGCACGGTGTCCTAATAATAAATGTTGACGGAATGAGAGGATAAAAGCTATTGGTTTTTCGTTACAGAATCTACAAATTTGTCGGAAATTTTAGAAGAGTCAATAACCCTTTTGAACTTTCTCGTTTCGCTAAAGGGCTGTTATTACGTCAACGGTACCGGGTAGAGGGTGGGGTGGAGCACCGGAGCGCTGCTCACAAGAAACGGAGCAGATTTCAAAACACTTTTTGTAAAAAAAGAGAGAGAGAGAGAGAGAGAGAGAGAGAGAGAGAGAGAGAGAGAGAGAGAGAGAGAGAGAGAGAGAGAGAGAGAGAGAGAGAGAGAGAGAGAGAGAGAGAGAGAGAGAGAGAGAGAAATAGAAGCTGAAACAGGATTTGGGGACAGGAGAAGGCAATTCCATGCTTTAAAAAAAAGTTGACCTTTTTAAAAGCATTATTTCCTTTTATTTCCTTGTAGAGCAAGCGGGCCTCTAGCTGCTCCCGCCTCAGCCTCCCACGTACTAGAATCACAGACGCGAATCGGGACCAGCCAAGCGCTGTTCTACTTTCCAGAGGTGGATCCAAGGTGGAGAACGGGGCAGGCTGAAGAGGGGCTTAGTAGGGCCCTAGGGGGTGGTCCGCGAAATCCGAGACCTCTGCAAAGAAAAGAGAAGAGGCGCGCATTAGAAAGCAGCCCTAGGAGTCAGGCCCGCCCGGCCTCCGCGGTGCCCGGGGCTGCGTGCAGCGCCCGCCCCACCACGCCAGTCTCCGGCGGCCGCCCGTCTCCGCCGCCCTCCAGTCCCGGGTTTTCCCGTCGGCTCTAAGTCGGCGGAGTGAGCCCGGCCGTCTTTTCCGTAGCGGGAGAAAAGCCGGGACTCTAGGAGAGAGGGTGGCGAATCCTACCTGGCCTGGGGCAGCCGCGAAGAATCGCCTCCCAGCCTCCCCGCCAAGGTGCTTCGATTCCCGGGAGCAGACCTCCCAGGGCTCCGGAAGGCGGGGGACACCCCTACCCCATCTGGCCTCCCTCCCCCCCAGCCCATTAACGGCTTCTCGTCGCTTGTTGAACAAAATGGACGCTTCTTCTTTTCAGACTTTGGCGGTTGCCGTCAGACCCGCCCACGCTCTCCAGTTCTCCTCCCCTCTGTTCCCACTACGGCCTTGGCACCTGCGACCCTCACTCCGGCGTTCGCGCAGCAGCTTCTCAAACCACTTCTTTGCTCTGATCTCACTCCTCTGCTCCGGCGTGCAGACCTACTCACCGAAAACAGGTTTCCAACCACACGCTCCCTGGGAGACACCCGCGCTTGGAGGGATCGGACCCACCAAATTAGGATCCGCCCAAAGCCCCCCTCCCTCTTCTTTCTGGCAGCTTGGATTCTGTAATCCGCAGTCAATGCTCCCACTTCCGCAGGGCCAGAGCGAGACTCTCTGCGCCCTTGTCCTGGGATATATTTGTAGTATTTTCTAAGTCATGTTTTACACTAACCATTTGTGTTATTTTCGTGTAATGCTTTATGTGTCTTATAGTTAAAACATTTTCTCTCTAGCAAATATAAGACTTTAAACAGGAAACTTCATACGTGGGAAATAGAGGGATGGGGTCCAAGAAAAGAAAGGCTTCGTGGTTACTGAAGGCTTTGAAAGGCAAAGGAGGCTTATACTCATTTGTGGTTTAGCCATGTCTCCAAGAAGTGGAAAACTTACATTTTATTTTATGTTTAATTATGAGGACTCGCGCGCGCACACGCGCGAGCGGTGCCCACGGCCAGAGGAATTGAATCCTCCGGAGCTGGAATTCCAGGCTGTTGTAAACTGCCTGGTGTGGGTGTTGGGTATCGAACTCTGTCTCAGGCAGGGCAGTGTGAACCTCCAGCCATGAGAGGGAAAACTTAAAAAAGACGGGAAAAGAGGAGGCTCACGCCTTTAATCCCAGCACTCGGGAGGCTGAGGCAGGCGGATCTCTGTGAGTTCGAGGCCAGCTTGGTCTACAGAGCGAGTTCCAGGACAGCCTCCAAAACTACACAGAGAAACCCTGTCTCGAAAAACCAAAAAGGCGGGAAAGAAAGAAGTCTCCCTTCCTTAGAAGGGAAAGAAGACTGCAAGTTCTCCATCTCAGATATCCTCAAAACTCCCAGGGTGGGAGGTAGAAATTTTCCCACCGAGAAGGCATGGCGGGGAGGGGGCAAGGTTGACAAAGTTGTGAGTGGAAGGACAGGGCCCTGAAGTTTGGAAACCGTGGAATCAGTGCACCAGGCAGGTTGTGAAGCAGCGAAAGCGAGCCGCTGTAAGTGGCAGCGAGGCCCTGCTACCGTTCCACGCTACAGTACCGAACCTTAGACCTCTGTCCCTCCTGCCTTGCAGCCTAGGCTTTCACTGGGGGTAAATGGATGGGTGAAGCTGGAATTTATGGACAGAGTCTATGTTCTCAGGCTCTCTTGGGTGGCATCTTCTTAGGTTTTCCCACAACTTGTCTGTGTGAGCTGAAGGCCGCCGGAAGACCCTGCTCAACTTTTCCATCTGTAACTGAGTTTCAGGAGCCCTCAGATTTCAAACTCTTGGACCAGCCGTGCTCACCTGGGGGTGTCTGGGCAGAAGTTACGCCTGCCGGCTCGCTGCCTTGGGGGGTGTTCCCAGCCGCACGTAGATACTGTACGACATCGCGATGGCCCCGCTCCAGGGCCAGGTCCACCGGCAGGCGACCCCGGGCGTCAAGCACATCCAGCCGCGCCCCCGCCTGGTGTAGTATCGCCAGAGTTTCCAAGAAGCCCTCCCGTGCTGCATCGTGCACGGGTCGGGAGAGGGTGGCTGGGTCCTCGCAGTTCGGTTCCGCACCGTAGAGCAGCAGCAGTCTGGCTACTTGGGTGTTGCCCATCATCATCACCTGAAAAAGAAGGAAGAGTAGAGGGATCAAGGCCAGACTGCCGCTGGGAGGACCCCAGAAAGAAGCCCTGTTAAGAAGCCTCAACACTACCCGGTGGAGACAACCAGTCACAAGGTTCTAGCTACCCTTTAGAGGTTTCTGGTACCAGCTAGCTGCTCCCGTCCTCCCCATTCCATTCTTCTTACACACAGGTTAACAGGGTATTTCCCACGCTTTCATGGTGCTGAAACCCCGTGTAGAGCATCGCCAGAGGCAAGACTGCCCTTGCCTCATTTGAGCCGATAAGCACTGTGTGGTAATTACTGAAAGTTATTGGCAAAAGACACATCCAGGGAGGTTGGAGAGATATAGCTCAGAGATTAAGAGCACTCAGAGGTCCTGAGTTGGATTCTCAGCAACCACATAATGATTGACAATTATCTGCAATGGGATCTGATGCCCTCTTCTGGCATAAAGAAAGCAGAGCCCTCACATACATGCTAGAAACACATAAATCTAAAAAAAAAAAAAAAGTCAACCAGAATTTTCACAAAATCTTGTTAGCCTTGTTTTCCTGGAATGTTATACTTGGATTTCTTGAAGTCTGAAAATGTCCCTAAAATATTAATGTTCCCTCCTTATCTTAAATTATTAATCCTCTAAACTGTGAATATGTTACAGAGAGAAGAGACTTTGTAGACAAGGCTATATTTAGGATCTTGAGATACATTATCCTGGACTACCAGAGTAGGCTCAATGTTATCACAAATACTTTGTCAAAGAGAAGATGTAAGCAAGGATGCAGAGGTCAGAGAAAAGAAGTCCTGGGTCAACAGCCACTAAGGCTAGGAAAAAGAGAGCAGATTCTGGCTTATAGCCTTCCACAGCAATAAAGTCCTGTGGACTCGTTTTAGACTTCCAGCTCCTGATTGCATAATGATAATTTTGTGTTTGTTTTAGCCATTAAATGTGTGCTAACTGGCTCGCTTGGTGGAATGCTGCCTAGTGTTTTAGTTTGCTTCCATCGGTGTGATGAAGACCATGACCAAGAGTATCTTGGGGAAGGAAAGGGTATCACAGTTCATCACTGAGGGGGAAGCCAAGCCAGGCACCTGTACAAGAAACTGCAAGGAGGAACTGAAGTGGAGTCAATGGAGGCATGTGCTCACTGGTTTGCTCAGCCTGCTTTTTTTTTTTTTTTTTAAGCAGCTGAGACTATCTGCTCAGGGATGGCATTGCCCACACTGAGCAGAATCCTCCCACATCAGAAATCAAGAAAATGCCCCCAAAGAGTTGCCTACAGAACAATCTGATGGAAACATTTTCTTAATTAAGGTGCCCTCTTTCCATATTACTCAGTTTGTCATTAAAGCAACTATAAGACCTTACTTGTGAAGGAAACTCTGGGTTCAAACTCCAACCCTGCATAAACTCTGCCTACCTGCATTCTCAGTACCCAGGGAATAGAGGAAGGGGATCAGAACTTTAGCCTACTTGCCAAGTTGGAAGCTAGCCTCTGAGCTATCAATATTTATTTATTTATACAAACTAAAGGATGAAAGATGGGGAAGAATGGGGGAGGGAAACTGTAATTAGGATATGGTATATGAGAAAAACACTATTTCCAATAGGAGAAAAGATTGCAATTTATTAGAACAGCAACAAAACAAAACACTTCTCAAGTTTAAAGTTTGAAAGACTAGCTTTGGACTATCAATCTTCCTGGCACAATCCCCTTCCAAAGGAATTGTGGCTACAGGCTTACTCTTAATTCCTAAGCTGTCTTGGAAATAAAACCATTCCTAAACCAGGTGGCCCATGCCTTTAATCCCAGTACCCAGGAAGCAGAGGCAAGTAGATCTCTGTGAGTTTGTGGCCAGCCTGGTCTACAGAGTGAGTTACAGGACAGTCAAGGTTACATAGAGAAACCCTGTCCCAAAATAATAATGATAAATAATAATGATAATGATGATGATTAATTAAGTATTCCCATAGAGAATGCACTGAACTCAACCCAAGGCTTTGTGAACACCAAGCAAGAGTTCTACCATTTTGTTCCCTCCATCCACAGGAAAGGAATTTTGAAGTGGAATCCATAACCTCCACAAAAACAACTATTTTGTGGTAGTAGTAAGTCTGGGATCCCACACCTTTTTCTGGCTTCAAGTGGCCATGGCATGTGGTGCAGATATACATTCAGGCAAAATACCTCTACACAAGCAATACAATAATAATAAAGAACCCAGCTAGATACAAGCTGCTGAGCTAGAAGTTTGGCTTGAGGCTGGAAGCTAATGCTAACAACAGGAATGTTCACTTCAGGTCACCTGTTTGCAGTTTCAAGGCAGGAATAAAAGTCATATTGTATTAACTATCAGATAAGACTTTCCCCAAGTTGTTTTACCTACAATGGCAACTCTAAAAGCTCTTTAGGGTAAGCAGGTAAAATGCTTTGCTGTCCAGCCTGACCTTCCATTTTCCCGACTCATGTAATGGAAGAGAGAATGGCTTTCCACAAGTTGTCCTGTCCTCCACACGCACCCCTCCCTCAACCAAATAAATAAGAGCCATAAAAAATTTAAAGCGCTGTAAAGTTAACTGGAAAAAAAACTAGGCAGAAATTGCTCTAGAGAAAATAAGAAAGCTCCCAAACACCACTTTGTACAGAGAAGCCACAGTTCAATTTTATATAGGATATCTAATAAACAAACTTGCTCACACTAGAATAAACTTGGCCATAGGTTTGGTATCTGCACTCAGACTCTAGGAAGTTAAGGACAATGTTATGCTAATGTATTGATGTGCTGTTGTGTTTTCCTACAGTGTGTCTAATAGCAGTCATATACTGAGCACTGGCAGCCAGCCTTTGGAACAAGACATTCCTAGCGCTACAAAGCCAGGCACACGCCCTGTCCCTTCGATTCGTACCAGGCTTTGGTTTACCCAACTGTGCTGCTGCCTCTACAAGCAGCTGCCTCAGCTGCCTCCTCCTCTTCAGTTGAAAGTTTTTCTAACCTCAAGACTCTTCCTGAGGATCCCATTAGCAACTGTCTTGCATGTAAAATCACCAAAAAACAAACAAACTAACAAAAAAACCAAAAAACCAAACCACTGGATATCCAGAAAAAGCTTGAGGAGTGCACCCTGGAAAATCTTCAGGGAGTTTTTGGCTCAACTTGCTGCTCTGTGCTCTGGAAACTTTTGGAAAGAGGTCATTCTTTTGGATTTATCACTGACTCTGTGTGTGTGTGTGTGAGAGAGAGAGAGAGAGAGAGAGAGAGAGAGAGAGAGAGAGAGACAGAGAGAGACAGAGAGAGACAGAGACAGAGAGACAGAGAGAGACAGAGAGAGAGAGAGAGAGAGAGAGAGAGAGAGAGAGAGAGAGAGAGAGAGAGAGAGAGAGAGAGAGAGAGAGTAGAGGGGCTGGGTTTTGATGGCCACAGATTGCTTGGAAACTTCAAACCTTTCTTATTGAGAACCACAGAGGCAGGACTAGCTGCTGGTGGGAGCAGGGAAAGAACGCAGTGAACATAGCCAGAGTCCTGTGGAACTGTAAAGATGAATTACTCAATTTTTCTAGATCAAGATATCATAATCAATTGCAGTAGTATTGCTGAATCTTTCCCTGAAGAAAGTGGAACTAATTTAGTTTTCAGGAAAACTATAAGTGAACTAGAGAAAGAGGAAAAAATACTCTGTGCTCTATCTTGCTCATTAATTTGGGTTTAAAGATTGCTCACATCTTTTATGGTATGGGAAAGTTGAAAATACCAAAAATAAAATGAATACTTAGAGAGTGCCTAAATCCTTTTTAAGAAAGTGTTTGGAATTGAGTCATTATTTTTTTCTTTTTGGTTGTTTGGTTTTATTTTTCTTTTGAGACAGGGTTTTTCTGTGTAGTGCTGGCTGTCCTGGAACCACCAGGCTGATTTTTTTCTTTTTATAAACAAATCATTTCTGTCTCAAGCACCACGTTGATTAAGGTTCTGAACCAAAACGATTTTCTCTTCCCCTTACTAAACTGCTGTACAAACTATCGACCTGATTTTTCCCCTTTTCTGCATTCAATATGATAAGGTCTTCTCTTGCATATTTTAAGAAGGGCAGCCCCCCCCCTCGCGACGCTGGCAAAGCCTCAGATGCCTTAAACCTGTAAGCCATAGCCACACTATTTTTAAAGGCTCAGACCTATTGTGTACAACCACCCAACCTTCTAGCCTCAAAATGTCTCCACGATTGACTTGTGGATCTCAAGGTCCACTTTCATTTCATTTTGATTATGTCGTAAATTGTGTGAAAATGTATTCTATATTGCATAGTTGCAGCTGATGTTACTTTCCTTTACCTTGCGATGCACAGGCTTTTAGAATGCGCACGTGTTTCATAGGAATTTTGTTAGAATTGGAAATAATGGTTATGGATGGCTATTACTGGGCAGCGACAGAAAGAATTCCCTTTTTAAGTTGAAGCTTAGTCAGTTAGCGAAAGCAAAATCAGACAAAATCTACTGGCAATAGATGGGAACAAATAATAATTCTCGATCACGGGAAATTGAAAAGCTGGTGCCAAAGTAGTACACTATACCAAGTTGGTTTAAAGGGGAGGGTGAGAGCAGCAAAAAGAGCAGGGCATGCATGCCAAAGGGTAACTGAATGGCCATTGCAGTCGGGGTCACACTGGAAACTCACCAGAAACGTGGGCTTTTCTTCAACAAAAGATACCATCCCCCTGCAGATGAGATACCCTGTGCCTACCTGAATCGGGGTGCGGCCGAAACAGTTCGGGGCGTTGGGCGAAACCCCTGCTTCCAGCAGAGCCCGAACCTCTTGCTCGCGGCCCTGGGCAGCCGCCCTAGCCAGCCGGTCCGCAGAGGGCTCCATGCTGCTCCAAATGCTCCCCTGTCGATCGCCTCCCTCTCGGAGATCCAGTGCCCGCCCCATCCTCGCGTGACCAGCCCGGGGGCCCTCTCTCTTCCTCTTAAAGGTTGGGGGGGGGGGAGCGAAACTCACTGAGCCTCACGGAGCTCCACAGCCCGCTATAGGTGGCGCAAGTCGCCCAGAACACTTCGCGACCAGAACACCCCTGAAACCGTCGCCGCCCCTCCCCCACCCCATCCCCTCCCCGGCGGGGGAGGGGACGACAGTCGGGTCTTCTGCCTAGGTCTGGTAGCATGCTTGAGAGCTGGGGGCTGCGGCGGCGCCACAAGATCCGAGGGTCCCCACCTGCTGTCCACGCTGACCCCCCCACCCCCAAACCGTACCCAGACACCCCTTGACTCTGGACTCCTTCCGGGCGCGCAAAAGAGGAGCACGTGGGTCTCCTGAGCTGGTGAGCCAGTGCATTCTCCAGCAGCGCGAAATCTCTCCCATTTCCTTCCTCCCCAGCGCAACACCCCAGTTTTAGCGAAAAAAAAAAAAAAATGAGGGCGGGTATTTTTCACCGCCAAATTGAAACTTAAGGTATTTAACCTCGTAGGCGAAGACTCCATCTTCTTTTATTCAGAAGAAAGAGCTATGTCCTCGCCGCACTGAAACGCCAGCTCAAACAATTCATTTTGTAAAGTCTCCTGCCTGCCCCCGGTCTCTGACCCACATGCCGCGTGAAATCCCCGCATCTTGGGCCAGGGTTTTTCAAAAACATTTCTGAGGTTAGGGTATTGGGTGCTAGCTCTTAAAAACATGAGTTCTATTTAACACAGACAAGGAAGGATTGTGTACGCAAATACAAAAGTGAGGGAGTGAAGTCACTGGAGGACAATCTGCTTGCTCATAATTGATGCCTATTTTATGGGGCTGTTGTGAGTTTAAATGACTTGACATGCTCACAAACGTTGAGAACTACTGCAATCCTATTGCACTATTCCACTATTCATTTTAATGAATGGGCAGGGTTACCAGTATTAGGTAAAATGGAGGATTTAAAAAGGCGATCATCCCTGACAACACGATGGTCTTTTCTTTCACTCCTGCGTTTCATACAACGAAGTCAAACAGCCACTACAGGGCAAGCTTAGAGGGCTGCCTTGAAAACAGCAAGAACGTGTTCAGTCATCATGAGATGCTTCCTCCTATAGCAGACAAGTACAGAGACCAACAGCTAAACACTGCAGACACTGAGACCAGTGAGAGACCTAGGAACACTCAGCCTGAGTGGGTCTCTCTGATGCTTGTGCCTTCTCTAGGGCTTGTTTCTTTCTGTTGGTTTATCTTGTCCAACTTCAACGTGATGGTTGTTGTTTTGTATTTTGTGGTGATATTTTGTTTATGATCTAACAAATAAGGCTTGCCTGAAGATCAGAGTTAGCTACAGAGGCCAGGCAGTGGTGGCACACACCTTTAATCCCAGCACTCCTGAGACTTAGGCAAAGGGATCCCTGTTAGTTCAAGGTCACTAAGGGCTAGAGGAGAGTCAATCAGTCTAAAAGGGAAACAGAGCTCACACAAAGGTGATCCCAGCACTTGGGATCCCACACCTTCAATCCCAGCACTAGAGAGGAATGTAAGGCAGGAGGAAACAGACACTGAACGAATCTGAATTCGGTAGATCACCCCTTCTGCCGAGGTAAGAACTCTCTAGTGGCTGGCTGCTTTGCTTCTCCGACCTTCAGTTTTAATCGCTATATCTGACTCTGGTTTTTATTATTCATGCTACAATATTTAATAGTTATATTTAATATATATTGTTATATTTTAAATATTGTTATATTTAAAATGAATGAATGAAATCCTAGTCACTAGGGTAGAGGTTAACAACTGATCTGTAATTCAGTTTTTACAATGTCAACGACACTCTAGGTATATCAACCCACTCCAGGGTAGATCTCATGTTCCTATGTTCAGGAGTAGTTGACCAAGATATAATCAACTACACAAATTTTTGTTTCTCTCTCTCTCTCTCTCTCTCTCTCTCTCTCTCTCTCTCTCTCTCTCTCTCTCTCTGTGTGTGTGTGTGTGTGTGTGTGTGCTTTTATTTGGTTACATTTTTTCTTTTGGGGTGGTGTTTTACTTTGTTTTCTTGGATTTTTTTTAAATAAAGAACTTAAAGTTGGGCGGGTAGTGAAGGGGCAGAGGATCTGAAAGGACTTGGAGGAGGGTCAGAATATGACAAAAATATATTTAAATTTAATTTTTTTAAATAATAAAAATGCAACAAGAAAATAACAAGAGTGGGTTTTGGGCAAGTATACACCAGTGCAGGCATTTGAAGTGGAGGTCACTAAAGATCCAGGACTCTGCGTATGGCTCCTTTGCTCTGGAAGTTGGTCCTGTTATTATACATAACGAATAAATAATAGTGATAAAAACCTTTTTTATTTAAAACAAAACAAACCAAATCCACCACTTTCCAAATGTATTCATCCATCTCTGCTTGGACCTGATGCCAACACTCCAGATGTACTAAATATAAAAACCAGGGTCTTGGCTAAAGGAATGAACTCTGGAGTTAGACCTTGTGGGTTCAAACCCGGGCTCTTCTGTGTATTCAGATGGAGAAGGAGAAAGATACTCCAGGCAGAGGTGAGAACATGTGGAAAGGTGCAGACATGTAAGAAAACAGGGTGTTTCACTGAGTTGTATTGGGCAGCCAGGAAACCAAAACCAGAAACAAACTTCTGGAAGAAGAGTCTGCAAAGAAACCTTCAAAGTCAGATGGAAATCAAGGAGTGAGTGGGATGGAAGGGGTTGGGACACTGAGAGCCCGACTCTCCCAGCTTTGCTGTAATTGGTCAAGGCCAAGCAGAGTGAAGCAGGTGAAATAGGTAAATGGCCCTGCAAGAAACTGAAGCATCTGTGCTGAGGGCAGTTGTGAGGTGGGCCTAAAATGTATCCTCTTGAGGAGTCACACTCAACCTTCTCCTCCTACAGTCCAATGACAACCCATGAGACTCCACCAAGCTCACCCAGGGGAACCAATAGCTATATTAGATATACATACTGAGCATGGACAATGACTCCTCGGTGACTGTGTAGGCAAAGCCCCTTCCCTAGTCCTTTCTCACCAACAACAGACTAGCCCTTCACCAGAGACCCAGACCACACCACACAATAAGAGCAGAATTGAATGCGTGGTGGCTGTACACTCAGATCAAAGTTTCTTTCTCATTTAAACTACTGTTATCACTCAGATTTGACACCACCCAAGCCTCTCACAAATCACAGAGAGTGACATTACTCATTGACAGGGACACACTGAGAAACATATTTCTTGTTGGAATCCAAACAGTAGCCCTTTGAGACATAGTTGCCATTTTCCCCAGGTGAGAATGTTGGGACTAAAAGCAAGTGTCCCTTGTTCAAAGTTAACAGAGCAGACAAGGTCATAATCATACACAACTATGAGTCTCATGAACTTTTTTATTTGATCCTGTCAAATTTGAGTTCAATTCTTTTAGACAAGGAAAAACTTTCTCAGTTGAAAACTGGCAAGGGATGTAATTTTTCACATCAAGAAAGGATAACCTCTGAGAAGAGGAGGAGCCTCAAACAGGCTTCTTAATGCTTTGGAATTATTAGCTGCAACAAAGAAAGCATATTTTGGGGACTCCACCTATCTCTGTTGATTCAAAATCATTGTAAATTTTCTCTTTCTGCTCAAGTAGGACCACAGCAAGGATGCAACTTTGTAGACAGGATGTAGACAAGTCACAGATTTTCAACTTCAGTTTCCAAACAGTTAACTGGATTTGGAATTTGGGCATATAATCAACTCATATCAGGACCATTTTGAGGAAAAGTTAGAAGTGTGTTACATGTTATAGAAAGAGTTTTTAAAATTGTGTACAAGGACCAAGCCTGGTCTACCGAGTGTGTTCCAGGACAGGCTCCAAAAACAATACTGAGAAACCCTGTTTCAAAAAACCAAAAAAAAAAAAAAGTGTACAAAACAAGCATGATTAAAAACAAAAAATTACCATCAGAATACCTTAAAGAATAGGTTTTATGTGACATTGGGTAACTTTGCAGTTCAAGAAAAATAATCACTCTCTAACTTCACTGTTCTAATGTATATGCATCCTGATTGTTGGGAACTGCTTATGGTAGAGAATACAGAAAGATGAAAAAAGTAATTGTATGTCCTGTACATGCATATATGTGCGCAGTGTGTGCATGTATAATCTAGTTATATGCATAAATAATGAGGATTCTCGTCCTGATGGCAAGATAAGTAGTCAGGCATATAATTAGAAGAGATACTGAAATAGAGACAATAAGAAATCCATTCAAGCTGAGCAGTGGTGGTGCATACCTTCAATTCCAGCACTCTAGAGGCAGAGGCAGATGGATCTCTGGAAGTTTGAGGCCAGGCTGGTCTACAGAGTGAGTTCCAGTACAGGTAGGACTGTTTCATAAAGATACCCTTTTTCGCTGGGCGGTGGTGGCACACGCCTTTAATCCCAGCACTCGGGAAGCAGAGGCAGGCAGATCTCTGTGAGTTCGAGGCTGGGCTGGACCTACAGCCTCCAAAACAATACAGAGAAACCCTGTCTCGTAAAAACAAACAAACAAAAAAGAGTGTTTCTATAGCAGTGCACAGTATGATTGGGTTTAAACCCCAGGCTTTCAAGCTCAGAGCAAGAGGCCCCTTCTGCCTCCCAACATATATGCCTTCCTGGTGACTAATTTACAGTGCTGTGGTGTGCAACTCAGCAATGCCGAGCAAAGTGGTGGAGTTGTTCTCTGAGAACCAAGTGCAGAAACAAGTAGCATAACCAGAATCAATGCAGCAGGATCTCTACTAAGAAGTACTAGTTTCTGTGATGTGTGTCACTAAAAATACAGCTGCACACACTGGGTCTCTAAGTCCCTCCAAAAATCACTTAATAGTCAGGTCCAATTTGAGTGATTCTTTTTTCCTGATTGTAGCTCATATGTGTAGGAAAATCAGGGCTGGGCAGTGGTGGTACAAGCCGTTAATTCCAGCTCAAATGACAAGAAGATAGAAAGAGGGAGGGAAGGAGGGAGGGAGTTAAGGAGGGAGAGAGAGGGATGGAGGGAGTGAGGGA